AACCCCAGCACCCTCCTAACCACAACCATCACAACCAGGAATCCCAGAACCCTCCCTACCACAACCATCACAACCAGGAACCCCAGCACCATCCCAACCACAACCATCACAACCAGGAACCCCAGCACTCTCCTAACCACAACCATCACAACCAGGAACCCCAGCACCCTACTAACAACCACAACCATCACAACTAGGAACCCCAGCACCCTCCCTACCACAACTATCACAACCAGGAATCCCAGCACCCTCCCAACCACAACCATCACAACCAGGAACCCCAGCACCCTCCCAACCACAACCATCACAACCAGGAACCCCAGCACCCTCCTAACCACAACCATCACAACCAGGAATCCCAGCACCCTTCCAACCACCACCATCACAACCAGGAACCCCAGCACCCTCCCAACCACAACCATCACAACCAGGAACCCCAGCACCCTCCCTACCACAACCATCACAACCAGGAACCCCAGCACCCTCCTAACCGCAACCATCACAACCAGGAACCCCAGCACCCTCCTAACCAGAACCATGACAACCAGGAACCCCAGCACCCTCCCAACCACAACCATCACAACCAGGAACCCCAGCACCCTCCTAACCACAACCATCACAACCAGGAATCCCAGCACCCTCCTAACCACAACCATCACAACCAGGAACCCCAGCACCCTCCTAACCACAACCATCACAACCAGGAACCCCAGCACCCTCCCGCTTGCCTTGTTGTGGAAAGTCTGAGATTGACTCTACCTATTCACGTGAAACCCTTGTTCATGGTTTTTAGTTGTGGCTTCTCAGGCTCTGCATCCGTGGCACTCATTAACAAGTGTGGAGGGAAGAAGGCAGAACTCAGGGCACCACAGGGCTGGAGATGAAGTAACCTGGTAGGCTCCAGGCTGAGAACAGAGGGCTGAGGCATCTTTCCCTCTGGGAGGGTCTGGGAGACACCAGCTCCAGCATAGAAGATGAGAGTTTGGAAAAACAGCCTCAGTCTTCTGGAAGAGTCAGTGGCTGTATCTATCATCAGGCACATGCAAGAATTACAGACAACCTTCAGCGGAAACTGGAGATCCATTCAGCATTGCCTCTGCAGAGCTTAAGAAGCACCAGGCCCCGCCTTAGCAACAGAGAAGCTGGGGGGCGACAGCCCAGGAAGGACTGGATTGCCCTCTCTGCAGTCCGGTTGTGAGGGGCAGTCGTCTGGATTCACACGCAGATTCCCCCTCTCCCTGCAGTTAAGTAGTATCAAGAGGTGCTGGCGGATGCTGTAGGGCCACAGTCCCCACGTCCACCTAACACGTGATGACAGGCCACCCCCAGCCGTAAATTCCAGGAGAAGATTTGTAGGCTTCCTCTTTAAGCTTGGGCAAAAATAGCATCGTGTGCGAACAGTGCTCCCTTAGTGGCTTACGTGGGGAGGCTGGAGAAGGTGGCAGAGTCCGACTTTTATAAACAGCCCAATAAACTGAGAGCCTTACCCCAGGTGGAGAACTGCACAGGGCGGTTTGCGAAATTCTTGCAGTTTCAGGGTGGAATGGGGGAGAAATTGTTAGGCACATGGTCCTGAGACAGGAGGAATCATCAAAAGACTTATTTTAGTGGTTGAGTGTGTATTATCTGCCCCAGGCATGAAGGCATCATAAAACTTGGCAGTGCCTTGCTAGGGAATTATTTTGTGTCCATAGTTGCAGAAATGTTCCACATAAGCTGAGTGCGACGGTCGGGATGCATAGTAAACAACCTCAGTGCTGAAAGATGGAAGAGAAAAAGAGAGAGTGCTGCACTTTAAAGAGGAACTTCAGTCATCGGAACTTGGTGCCATTTCAGATGTGTGCATGCTGGCGAACGGCTGTTTTGTTTGAAAATGTGCACTAATGTCTGGACTCCACTTGGTTGCAGGCATCGAGCTGTCTTTACCATTTTCCCCGTGTGAGTAATCAGATTTAAAGCCGGGTTTTTAACCAGTCAAGGGTTTCTGAGAACCTGTTTGGTGAAAGTTGCTCTGCCCACAAAATGGTGACCAAAGAGGAATTCAGAGCTCCCTGTTAACTGGAGACTCATTCACTCTTCGAATTTAGTAATTTTAAAAAATTATGAAATCAAAATAGCTTGTAGTTCTTATTTTTAGACATAATAAGAATTCTGTTTGCATTCTCAATTAGAGTTAAGACTCTAAGAACTGGGTGTGTGTGATTTTTGACATTGTCTGTGCAAAGGAGTTCTTGACAGAAGATGTGTGCATAAAACCCCATGTCGTCTGGACCCAGTTCTAGACGAGAGAATGCCTTGACAAATCACAACAATTTGTGCCAGTGTTACAAAACTCTAGTATGCATTTTGTAAGGATTTATTTATTTGGAAGGCACAGTGGCAGAAAGAGAGAGAGAGAGATCTTCCATCTACTAGTTTACTCCCCAGATGTCTGCAATGGCCATGGCTGGTCCAGGCCCAAGCCAGGAGCCAGGAACTCCATCGAGATCTGCCACACAGAGCCATCACCTGCTGTCTCCCAGGATGTGCATTTGCAGGAAGCTGGATTGGAAGCCCAGAGTGTCAAACTGCATGGCGTGGAGGTGTCCCAGCAGTGGCTTGATCCACTACGCCACAATGCCCGCCCCGTTATGCATCTTGACTTGAACAGCCTGGATTTGTTACAAGTACAATTCAGTTAAATGTGGGGTTTATTATTTGAAAATATTAGCAAGAAATGGAGCTTTTATGCAGCTTTAATTGGAGATGTTCTGTTGTTTGGGAACGCATCTGTGCAGAGCTGTCACTTGGGAGTTAAGGCATTGTTGACGCCATGTTCACTTGTCACTGCTGGAGACCGACTTCTCTTCCACCTTGAACGTGATGTGCTGTGCTGGTGGATTTTGGCCATGAACATCAGAGAATGTAAAACCAGAAACCTGTGGCTGACTCCCAGCCTCTGCAACACCTTCACCCTTCCTGGTCAGGTGTTCCGTGCCCCCCGCAGCCCCAGCCCTGCAGTGACCCCCTGCTGTGTATCTCGGGATTCAGTTTCTGGGGCTGTGGTGTAGTGGGTAAAGCCGCCACCTGCAGTGCTGGCAACCCATATGGGCACCAGTTCAAGTGCCAGCTGCTCCACTTCCCATCCAGCTCCCTGCTAATGTGCCTGGGAAAGTAGCAGAGGGTGGCCCACGTGCTTGGTCCCCTGCCACCCATGAGCCACAAGAGGAGTTTTGGGCTCCTGGCTTAGCCTGGCCGAGCCCTGGCCGTTGTGGCCTTTTGAGGAGTGAACTAGCCGATAGGAGATTTCTGTCTGTCTCTCTGCCTCTCCCTCTGTAACTGTCTTTCAAATAAATAAATAAATCTTAAAAAAAAAAAAGACTCAGCTTCCTCAGCCTGGCCTGTTGCAGCCGGGATGGACCTCTTCCCCCCACCTGATAGTAGCAGGAATCAGCTGTACTTTGAGTCTTAGGCTGAGTGCCGTGCCTGGTCCCTTCCTGGGTCCCTGGCCTCAGGTCTTGCTTCGGTTCTCTCCACACTTCTCTTCCAGGGCCTGGAGGCTTCTCGATGCCCTGAGCCAATTCTTAGCCTCCTCTGGTCCAGGCAGTTTCCTGGACTGTCTGCTATGATCAGAGTTTTCTAGGTAGGGAGTTAACAACTCCTGTCCCTTTAAACATGTGCTTTTCCCATCAGCTGGGACCTGTCTGTCCATGTCTGCCCAGTTCACCCAAGTGAATGGGTCTACTTCCAGTTTCCAGGCCATTCCGTCTTGCTGCCCCGTCCCCTTGGGAGTCAGCAGTCAGCTGGCCGTACCTACCTAAGGTAGGATAACCAAGTGAATTCCTTGGCTGTTCACCCACCACTACAGTCTTACAGAGAGGCATTTTAAATTGTCAGCTGATACATTTTTTAAGCCTTTTAGCTTAGAAGATTCTGGGTCAAGACTAGGGGATAATTTCAAGAACAGTTGAAGCACAAGAGGGAAGGTGCTATCAGGTAGGCAGTGCCGACCCGGGCCTGCCGCCGCGCACCGGGGCCTCATGCTGGGAGGGTGAGCGTTTCAGCCTGGCTTGGCTGCCAGCAGTGGGCTGCGACCGATGTTGTCAGAGGATTCTCAGACTCCTAAACCACGCTGAGGCGAGGACAGGCACCAAGGACGGCTGTCTAATGCAGGCCGATAGGGGCTGTTGAGTCACAGCTTGTTGGATTGTGACTGGAGTGGACTGCAGGTGTAATCTGGCCTCTGCTTTTCAAAGCCGATTTTGACTCCCTAGCGCTTCTAAAATCAGCTTAGAGCTCATGGCCAGCCTGAATTTGTTTTACTTTTCACGAAAAGCAAAATGGAACAGAACAGAGTGGTTCTTATACAGTAAACAAGGTATTATTGTATAAAACATTGATCCTGTGTGTGTGCGTGTGGATCACAATGTGGTAAACATATTTACTGAGGCTCATAATTAAAGTGTCAGCCTGATTCAGGTTGAATCTTTCATTTTACATCCGAGAAGACAGAGGCTCAGGAGGGGAGAAGTGTTTGGCCAGCATCCACTAAGGTGGTAGGAAGAACTGGACCTTGGATTTTTTAAAGATGTATTTGTTTGAAAGGCAAAGTTTCACAAGAGAGGGAGAGACAGAGAAAGAGAGAGATCTTCTACCTGCTGGCTCACTCCCCAAATGGCAACAGCTGGGGCTGGGCCAGGCCGAAGCCAGGAGCCAGGAGCTTCTTCCTGGTCTCCCATGTGGGTGCAGGTGCCCAAGCACTTGGGCCATCTTCTGCTGCTTTCCCAGGCACATTAGCAGGGAGCTGGATTGGAAATGGAGCAGCAGGGACTCAAAGTGGCACAGATATGGGGTGCCAGTGTCTCAGGTGGTAGCTTCATCCACCGTGCCACAGCCCTGGCCCCTGGCCCTGGCATTTTTAACTCCAGTGTTCTATTATAAACTGTCATGCTCTGTTATGTGTTTTACCCAAACAAGAGAGAATAAACATGGGCTCTAGATCTTTAGGATTGTGACTCCTGCAGTTTCGGACGGCAGTAGTCGTTAAAATATGCACCACCCGGGGAGGCATCGTGCACGGTGGGTTAGGCCACCACTTGGCATGCCTCCTCCTCTATCAGAGTGTCTGGGATTGAGTGCTGCCTTTGCTTCTAATCTAGTTTCTTCTATTCCCCCAGAAACCTTTTATTTAAGAAATACAAACATCAGACATTTCACAATTACAACTTCAGGAGCATAGTGATTCTTCCCACTGTACTTGCCCTCCCACCCACTCTCCCACCTGATCCCTCCTCCCTCTCCTAGTCCCATTCTTATTTTTTACTAGGATCTATTTTCAATTTACTCTATATATATATAATTAGCTCTATGTCAAGAGTTCAACAAATAGTAGGAAAAAACTGTTCCTCACCAGTCGAGACAAGGGCTCTTCAGAGTCATTGCGTCTCAAATGTCAGCTTCACGTTGCTAGAGTACCTTTTAGTGTTCTAATCTGGCTTCCTGCTGATGCGCCTGAGAGCCAGCAAAGACTCGGATGGAGTTATTGCCTTTCAAATACATAAAATATTCACCAACCATCACCTGTATGTTTCTATAGAGAGCAGGTGGGTAGAAAATAAGTGGGATGAAACAAATGGGATAAAAGAAGAAATTACAAGTTCAGAAATTTAGGTGAACTTCGGAAGGGTCTTTGGATCAAGGGCCTGGGAAACACGGTGGTCTTAAACCCAGAGGAAGAATGAAAACCTAGAGCAGTTCACCATTTGGTGTAACACGAGCCTGTGAGAGTGACAGGTAACATGTAAAGACTATTAAAGGCTCACTACAGAAAAGATGGAGCTCTAGCCGAGATGTGGGATCAACCTGATGGGCCATCAATGGATGAATGGTTCAAGCCAATCTGGTCTAGGACATAATGGGATATTATTCAGCCCTGTCATTTTCGGCAACATGGATGGGACTGGAGGACATTGTGCTGAGTGAAATAAGCCAGGCACAGAGAGGGAGATGCTGCACAGTATCACCCACATGCAGAGTGAAACAGGCTGACCTCACAGCAGAGTAGTGGTCACCCGAGGGTGCAGGGAGCCTGTAGGAGGCCTACGTTCTAGTGGGCTGACCTCACAGCAGTGCAGAGTAGTGGTCACCTGAGGGTACAGGGATCCTGGTAGGAGGCCTACGTTCTAGTGGGCTGACCTCACAGCAGAGTAGTGGTCACCCGAGGGTACAGGGAGCCTGGTAGGAGGCCTACGTTCTAGTGGGCTGACCTCACAGCAGAGTAGTGGTCACCCGAGGGTACAGGGAGCCTGGTAGGAGGCCTACATTCTAGTGTTGCACAGCACGGTACAGGGACTACAGATTACAACAATTTAGTATATAGTTTGTAAAGACTGAGAAGAGGAGTTTGAATATTCCCAACACAAAGAAAGTATAGGTGTCTAAGATGGACCTGGGGACTTGCACTGTAGCACTGCAGGTTAAGCTATCACCTGTGATGCTGGCATCCCACACGGTAGTGCCAATTCAGCTCCTGGCTGCTCCACCTCTGATCTAGCTCCCTGCTAATGCACCTGGGAAGGCAGTGGGTGATGGCCCAAGCACTTGGGCCCCTGCATCTACGTGGGAGACCCAGATGGAGTTCCTGGCCCTGGCTTCAGCCTGACCCAGCCCTAAATATGGTGGCCAATTGGGGAGTGAATCAGCCAACGGAAGATCTCTCTTTCTATCTCTCACTCTGCCTTTCATATAAATAAATAAGTCTTTTTTAAAAAAGATGGAAATACTAATTATCCTGATTTGAACATTACACACTGTATACATGTATCTAATGACCATACTATACCCCACAAATACATACAATTATTATGTGTCAACTAAAAGCAAAAGTAAAGACTGAAGGGGATGAATAAAAAAAAAAACAATGAAAGTAGAACTCATAGAATTGCACCTCTCGTTGGTCTAAGTTGCTTGTTTACTTGAGGACAGTTGTTCCTCTGGTAATTCTACTTGTGTCTAGCCGGCACACCTGGATCAGTGATAGCTGTCTCACTGACAGTCGTCTTCCTGTTCTCAAAAGCCACCTAGACAGCTGCCCACTACAGCAGAGCCTTCACTTCTATAAAATAACATCTCCCCTAAAATGTAATCCAGCTGAACAAATCCTGCTAGTTTAAAAATGCACTCTTAGAGGCTCCGTGTTGGTGATTAATCCCTTCTGGCCAGTGAGAGTATTGATATTTAATTCACTGAATGATGCTCAATAATTACGTCATCCAGACCAGCAGGGCTCACGTTAGTCGTGGTCCCAGATTCACATTACTTGAAACTGGCAATCCTCAGCTTCCAGCGCTTTCAAGAAAGACAACTTTTACTAAGTGAGGGGACCCAAATATAGCCCACCGTTCGGCCTCCTCTGTTAGGGTAACATAGGGTTCCTGTGCTAAATTCCACTGTTTCAAGGATGCTGTGTTTTGTCAACGATGATAGAATATTTCAGCTTTATCAATTCCTGTGAAAACTGAGCCACAATTTCTGGTCAGACGTTTTCTGAACAGCCCTGTCTGTGATTCCCACCATTCTCCTCCATCTGTGATTCTATGAACCTCAGACCGGTTTAAAAATGAGTACTGTCTCCAGCTGCCAGTTTCCTCATTTGAATCTGAATACTTGTGTTTTCATGAAAAACTGAGCAATACTTTCCACCCCACCCAATGCAGCCACATTTTCAGACAGTGTGCTCCCTGTCTCTGACTTCTGAGTCAAAGAACAATCAGGTGATGCACTGGGGGTCAGACAGGAGGAGTCCTCCCGAGCCCTTAAATCCCAGCTCCTGCTCTGTGACAGTGAGTCTGGAGATATATCCCAGTCCTGCTCTGTGACAGTGAGTCTGGAATCCTCTCCCAGTCCTAATCTGTGACAGTGACTCTGGAATCCTCTCCCAGTCCTAATCTGTGACAGTGAGTCTGGAATCCTCTCCCAGCTCTCCTGATCTGTGACAGTGAGTCTGGAATCCTCTCCCAGCTCATGGTCTGTGACAGTGAGTCTGGAATCCTCTCCCAGTCCTAATCTGTGACAGTGAGTCTGGAATACTATACCAGCTCCTGATCTGTGACAGTGAGTCTGGAATCCTCTCCCAGTCCTGATCTGTGACAGTGAGTCTGGAATCCTCTCCCAGCTCTCCTGATCTGTGACAGTGAGTCTAGAATCCTATCCCAGCTCTCCTGATCAGTGACAGTGAGTCTGGAATCCTATCCCAGCTCTCCTGATCTGTGACAGTGAGTCTGGAATCCTCTCCCAGCTCTCCTGATCTGTGACAGTGAGTCTGGAATCCTCTCCCAGCTCTCCAGATCTGTGACAGTGAGTCTGGAATCCTATCCCAGCTCTCCAGATCTGTGACAGTGAGTCTGGAATCCTCTCCCAGTCCTAATCTGTGACAGTGAGTCTGGAATACTATACCAGCTCCTGATCTGTGACAGTGAGTCTGGAATCCTATTCCAGTCCTGATCTGTGACAGTGAGTCTGGAATCCTCTCCCAGTCCTGATCTGTGACAGTGAGTCTGGAATCCTCTCCCAGCTCTCCTGATCTGTGACAGTGAGTCTGGAATCCTATCCCAGCTCTCCTGATCAGTGACAGTGAGTCTGGAATCCTCTCCCAGCTCTCCTGATCTGTGACAGTGAGTCTGGAATCCTATCCCAGCTCTCCTGATCAGTGACAGTGAGTCTGGAATCCTCTCCCAGCTCTCCTGATCTGTGACAGTGAGTCTGGAATCCTCTCCCAGCTCTCCAGATCTGTGACAGTGAGTCTGGAATCCTATCCCAGTCCTGATATGTGAAAGTGAGTCTGGAATCCTATCCCAGTCCTGATCTGTGACAGTGAGTCTGGAATCCTCTCCCAGCTCTCCTGATCTGTGACAGTGAGTCTGGAATCCTCTCCCAGCTCCTGGTCTGTGACAGTGAGTCTGGAATCCTCTCCCAGTCCTAATCTGTGACAGTGAGTCTGGAATACTATACCAGCTCCTGATCTGTGACAGTGAGTCTGGAATCCTCTCCCAGTCCTGATCTGTGACAGTGGGTCTGGAATCCTCTCCCAGCTCTCCTGATCTGTGACAGTGAGTCTGGAATCCTCTCCCAGCTCCTGGTCTGTGACAGTGAGTCTGGAATCCTCTCCCAGTCCTAATCTGTGACAGTGAGTCTGGAATACTATACCAGCTCCTGATCTGTGACAGTGAGTCTGGAATCCTCTCCCAGTCCTGATCTGTGACAGTGAGTCTGGAATCCTCTCCCAGCTCTCCTGATCTGTGACAGTGAGTCTGGAATCCTCTCCCAGTCCTAATCTGTGACAGTGAGTCTGGAATCCTATCCCAGCCTCTGATCTGTGACAGTGAGTCTGGAATCCTCTCTCAGTCCTGATCTGTGACAGTGACTCTGGAATACTATACCAGCTCCTGTCCTGTGACAGTGAGTCTGGAATCCTATCCCAGTCCAGCTCTGTGCTAGTGACTCTGGAATCCTCTCCCAGTCCTGATCTGTGACAGTGAGTCTGGAATCCTCTCCCAGTCCTGATCTGTGACAGTGAGTCTGGAGATATATCCCAGTCCTGCTCTGTGACAGTGAGTCTGGAATCCTATTCCAGTCCTGATCTGTGACAGTGAGTCTGGAATCCTATTCCAGTCCTGCTCTGTGACAGTGAGTCTGGAATCCTCTCCCAGTCCTGCTCTGTGACAGTGAGTCTGGAATCCTATCCCAGTCCTGATCTGTTACAGTGAGTCTGGAATCCTATCCCAGCTCTCCTGATCTGTGACAGTGAGTCTGGAATCCTCTCCCAGTCCTGATCTGTGACAGTGAGTCTGGAATCCTATCCCAGTCCTGATCTGTGACAGTGAGTCTGGAATCCTATCCCAGTCCTGATCTGTGACAGTGAGTCTGGAATCCTATCCCAGTCCTGCTCTGTGACAGTGACTCTGGAATCCTCTCCCAGTCCTGATCTGTGACAGTGAGTCTGGAATCCTCTCCCAGTCCTGATCTGTGACAGTGAGTCTGGAATCCTCTCCCAGTCCTGATCTGTGACAGTGAGTCTGGAATCCTATCCCAGTCCTGATCTGTGACAGTGAGTCTGGAATCCTATCCCAGCTCTCCTGATCTGTGACAGTGAGTCTGGAATCCTCTCCCAGCTCTCCTGATCTGTGACAGTGAGTCTGGAATCCTCTCCCAGTCCTGATCTGTGACAGTGAGTCTGGAATTGTATCCCAGTTTTCCTGATCTGTGACAGTGAGTCTGGAATGCTATCCCAGCCTCTGATCTGTGACAGTGAGTCTGGAATCCTATCCCAGTCCTGATCTGTGACAGTGAGTCTGGAATCCTATCCCAGTCCTGATCTGTGACAGTGGGTCTGGAATCCTCTCCCAGCTCTCCTGAATTGTGACAGTGAGTCTGGAATCCTCTCCCAGCTCCTGGTCTGTGACAGTGAGTCTGGAATCCTATCCCAGCTCTCCTGATCTGTGACAGTGAGTCTGGAGACCTCCACATGTGGAGGACGTGGCTGTGTGCCTCCCGGAAGACAAACCGTCACCCTGCTGTCTCCAGCCCCATTGAGATAGTACCTGCACCTGCGGGCTAGGAGCTTCCCGTACAAAGTTCTCCTGCTCTGCTCACTTCTGGAGCACAGACCCGCCATGGAATGTGTCCTTGCTGATGCCACACTCTTCCACATGTATTCCAAAGTCCTCAACTTCCTCAAAACCTGGTTGAGGAGGTGCTATTAGTTCTTGAACGATAGCTAATTAAGTATGAAATAGTGCTAAAAAGCTCCCTGTTGTAGGTAAGTGCGACACCTCCCACTCCTATGACATGAACTTTGAGGCTAAATGCCAGGCTCTTTACACTAAAGGCTTATTTGTTTGCTAAATTGATTTTTTTCAGTACAGGCACCCCAGGTGCCCCAGGCATCCCAGGCATCCCTGGGAGTGACTCTGTGTCAAGTTCTGGTACCTTACAAGGATTCCTAGAACACCCTACTGCTGCCAGATCTAAGAATCTATACACTGAGATCCCAGTGAGGGTGTTCAGCAGGGCACTGGGGGTACAGTGGGATAGAAATACCTAGAGGAACCAGGGAATGACTCAGGACTTTTCGGATCAGCCAGGATGAAATCGGACAAGACCCCCTAAAATTTACACTGAAATGTGGCCAAAGGAACACTGCTGTCTGGGGAAAAAAACAAGAGGGGGTCCCTACCCTCATCCTTGTCCCCAAATTCCTGAATAAATCCAAATTTTAAGATGAAAATACAGACCTTTAAGGTGAAGTTCAAAACACTGTGAAAATACAGATTTAGAAAATATCTTTGATGGAGGAAGCCTTTTTGAGTAAGATACAAATAGACACCATTAAAATCAATTAAATTCAACAACACAAATCAAATGTTTTCTGATTGGAAAAACAATGAACCAAGTCAAAGGTGAATAATAAAAAAAAACTATTTGCAGCACACATTAGATGCAAAGGACCACTTTACCTAATAGTAATGGGCTCTACAGATAAGTGGGGGAAAGATCAGTAACCCAATAGAGAGCTGTCAGAGGATTCTTTGGAAAACAAAACTCAGTGGACTTTGAACAATGGAAAAATGGTCAGACTTGCTGTTTAGAAATGCAAGTTCAACCTGCAGTGTGTGGGAGTGGGCAAGGGGGGACTGCAGTGTGGGAATGGGCAAGGGGGGCCTGCAGTGTGGGAGTGGGCAAGGGGGGCTGCAGTGTGGGCGTGGGCAAGGGGGCACTGCAGTGTGACCAGGCATTTTCACGGCAGTATGTCAGGGACTGGGGGCTCTCGTGCTTCTTTGCGTGGAACGTAAAGTGATGTCATATCTAGACGGAGTGGTTAGTGCATTTTATCAGAATAAAAACTGCAGATAATCTTTGGCCCAATAGCTTCCCCTGCAAGAGAACTACACTGTGTGCATGAGAATATTCACTGCAGTGTTGCTTGTGAAAACAGAAGATGTTCATCAGTGGAGAACTTGGTTTAAAAACCAGGATACACCCATATAATGGAATCTTGGGGTAAAAACAGAACAGCATTTAACAAGAAGGAATGCCCCGAATGCTGTTAATGAAAGGGCAAGCTCAGCATACAGTGCCCATTAGTGATAGAAACCTGGGAAGAAGCTGCCTCTGAGCTCAGGGCTGGAGGTCCGTGGCCCGAGCAGGCGCCCCCTCCTCTGCTCGCTGGCGTGCTGGCCACGTCCCGTGACTTACGGCTCAGGGCTCTGGTGAGGACATGAAGTTGTGCGGCAGATCTGGCTTCGTGGAGGGACCCAGGGAGGCAGATGCCACGTAGCGAATGGATCGGCACAGGTGATAGGGCCAGAAAACATGGGAGTCGGGTTCCACAGTAGGGAGGCAGGCTTGCATTAGCAAAACTAACGTGATGTGGGAGCAAGAAGTCAAAGTCAGAGCAGAATTAGAGAATCAGCTCTTAAAGGTAGGTGAGATAAAGAGAAAGGAGCTGTGCAGGGGCCCTTGGGCGCTGCTGGAGCAGAAGCAGAGCACCGTGATACCTGTAAGTAACTAGCGGTAGCGTGGGAAAGGCTCGTCATCTACTGGATTACAAAGTTAATGAGACACCGGAAGGGGCGAAGTCTCTATCCTGTTTATAGCCAGTCACCGATGTCTGATCATTATATTAACACCATCACGTAGGGTTTGGGAGGAAACACAGATCCTGCTGGGGGCTCACTCTCTGGCTGAAGACAGTGACAAGTCACGGTCAGTCGGCTGGCCAGAAAACCTTGCTTTCCCCACGTGTGTGGCCATGGTACGGCTGCACGCCTCGCCTCGGGAGAGTTCTGGTCAAGCGCTGTGAGTGTGTGCACCCACAGGTATGCCAGCAGTCCGTGCTCCGCAGCCAAGCTCAGAGGCGGCAGGAACAACACGAGGAGCGGTGTTACATGGAGCCAGGCAAAGCAGCTCCGTTAGGAGACTCTTGGGAAGGCCTTTTGTTCTCAGCCGCGGCGGTGGCGATGGTGATGGTGGGGATGACAAACACCAAACACTGGTGTCTACACCAAGGAGATTTCCAGTTATGGGCCCTAAATCTGGCTGGGTGGCTAGGATGACAACCTGATCACCAGCATAAATAGGCCGGATTTGTCTTCCGGGCTCCTCACTGCTCACGGTCCCCCGGCAGTCACCGCCGTGCTGTCACGCGGGGCTCAGTGCGTGTGCACACGGCATCGACCACATGGGGTTCACTTGTCAGGGTGCATCAGGCTGCTACTGCAGTTTTAGAGGCTCAGGCTGGCACTTTCTTCCCTCACGGTAAAAGTAGTCTAAAAATTAATGTAATTTAAACCAGAATTTTTCCTAAAAGAAGAGGCTTTGTTATTCTTTAAACATAGTCCATCTTTGACACTCCCAATCAGTGAGACTATTTTGCTAAAATTTAAGAGGTAAGAAAATACTATTTGGAATTTGAAATCAGCTTTTCATTTTCGCTCATCACCATCTTGCCTGCAAATCCAGGAGTAGGCGTGGTTAAAAGGAAGTCAGCAGGAAATCGTTTTCTCCCTAAAGGAGGAGTTGATAGAAGAAATCATGCCATCACCTTTCTTTCTTTCCTTTTCACCAGAGGTGGAACAAAGAGAGGCGATAGTACTGCAATTTTGATCTCTACAACCTCATTTGAAATCATTCTCTTTGATTTAAGTTTTTCTTGAAATGAAAGGATAAATGGTGTTAACTTAGTTAAAGTTAGGGGAGAAAAGTTGATTGGACATCCTGTTGTCAAGGAAACCAATTCTCTCTCCCTCTCCCCCCCCTCCCTCTCTCCCTCTCTCCCTGTCTCTCCCCCCTCTCCCTCTCTTCCTCTCTCTTCCTCTCTCTCCCTCTCTCTCCCTCTCTCTCCCTCCCTCTCCCTCCTCTCTCCTCTCTCCTCTCTCTCCTCTCCTCTCTCTCTCTCCCTCTCTCCCTCTCTCTCGTCTCCTCTCTCTCCCTCTCTCCCTCTCTTTCCTCTCTCTTTCCCTCTCTCTCTCCCTCTCTCTCCCTCTCTCCCTCTCTCTCTCCCTCTCTCTCCCTCTCTCCCTCTCTTTCCCTCTCTCTTTCCCTCTCTCTCCCTCTCTCTCCTTCCCTCTCTCTCTCCCTCTCTCCTCTCTCTCCCCTCTCTCCCCTCTCTCTCTCTCCCCTCTCTCTCCTCTCTCCCTCTCTCCCTTCTCTCTCTCTCCCTCTCTCTCTCCTTCTCTCCCCTCTCCCTCTCTCCCTCTCTCCCCCTCTCTCCTTCTCTCCCCCTCTCCCCCCTCTCCCCTCCCCCCCCCTCTCTCCCTCTCTTCTCTCCTTATTCTCCCTCTCTCTCCCTCTCCCTCTCCCCCCTCTCTCTCCCTCTCTCCTCCTTCTCTCCCTCTCCCCTCTCTCCCTCTCTCTCTCCTTCTCTCCCTCTCTCCCCCCTCTCTCTCCCTCTCTCTCTCCTTCTCTCCCTCTCTCTCCCTCTCCCTCTCTCCCCCCTCTCTCTCCCTCTCTCTCTCCTTCTCTCCCTCTCTCCCTCTCTCCCTCTCTCTCTCCTTCTCTCCCTCTCTCCCCCTCTCTCTCCCTCTCTCTCTCCTTCTCTCCCTCTCTCCCCCTCTCTCTCTCCCTCTCTCTCTCCTTCTCTCCCTCCTTCTTTCTCTCTCTCTCTCCCTCTCTCCCCCTCTCTCTCTCCCTCTCCCTCCCTCCCTCTCTCTCTCTCTCTCTCTCTCTCTCTCACACACACACACACACACACACAGCAGTGACTAACAGTATCCTTCTAACTCCTCACTGACATTTAAAAACACCCCCCGGGGCTGTGCTGGGAATATGTGTAAAAAAGACCCCAAGGGAAGTGCCCCGGGAATTTGCATCTGAAGGGAATCTGGTTAAATTTGGAGGCGGCCCCTCCTTTGAAATCAAAGGGGGGTCGCGGAAACACAGGAGGCAGTCTCTGAGGTGAGCACCAGATCAGCTGCAGAATGAGGCTGTCGGCAAGGGAGGACAGGAACAGGGACTCTTATAAAGAAATAGCACAGCACCAGAGTGAGCGAAAGACGAACAGTTCAACCCCTCGAGCCGTTGTTGATACCCATCAAGCTTAAAGCCAGACACCGTGCACCAGGGAAAAAACGTAAGAGCCAGGTTAAAAGGGATCTTACAGTGAGGCACGGCTGCTTATATTTAAGGGAAGTCCCGCCTCTTTGCCCCTCCCTTAGAGAACTCCTCCCTGCTCCAGCGGTTTCAGCTTGGCTTGCGGCTTGTGTTGGCCTCACAGTGACCAGAGGCCTCCTGCCCTGATCTGGGGCTTCGCCGAGGAACTTGGTTTGACCAAGAAGATGGTCTGGCGGGAGGGTGTTAGCAGACGCACTGCAGCAGAACCTGCAGATGTTCTCGCACGCTGCCTCGCTCCCTCGGTCTTCGTCTTGAAGGCAGAGCCTGCCCTGACCAGCCCGCTCTTCCAGCGAACACGAGAGATGCATGGAACGGAGCGGCCCAGTGGAGCCCCTCCCCGACAGACACAGCCGGGAGTCCAGCAGGGCCTTCCAGCCAAGAGGCTCACCCAAGCCAACTAGCCAACCCTTAGACGCACAGTGGGTTACAAATTGCTGTTTTATCGCTCAGTTTTAGGTGATTTGTTTTGCCACAATGACAAACGCACAGAGTGACTAGTCTACACCACAGCTTACTACTTTTTCAAGGCTACATAGAAAACCAAAGACTAGGCAGAGGAGCTCGGACAAAGCTGCGGGTTGCCTGGGCAGGACCGTGTCCACACAGAACAAGCTAGCCCCTTTCCACGCTGAGCTCTGGGGAAACGGAGGGCGCCAGTGCTGTAGACAGAAGGCTCTCAAACCTCTGGACTCCGTGAAGATGTGAATTAGCAACACAACTGAATTTATACACCTAAAAGAGTTACCGCCGACCTGCAGGTCTAGAGAAAGCTACTGAAAATCACCCGGTGGCCGAGGAGAAGCTGCGTGGAAGCAGACTGAAATGATTAGGCCTCCAGGGTGGAAAGACGCATGTCGAGAATCAATGTCCTCCAAGTCTGTTAGACCGCAAACAGAGCAAACGCTCTGGACATGGGTTTGTTCACCAGACTCTGGAATTTCGGAAGCAAAGGAGCCTAACGGTGAAGATCTCAAGGGAAATTCAGGAAAATGAGGGGAGGGCTGCCTCCTTTACATGACCAAGAACCAGGCTGACCGTGTGGCCCCGCATCTCCGGGGTTCGTTTTCTCTGTTCTGGGGTGATCTTTAGCAGCACTCCTTTCACTTTCACGATCCGCCATCCGCTGCAGTAAACCTCACCCCCCAGTCGGAATCGCACAGGTCGAGGGGGGTTTAGATGAGTTCCTGAGGAACGACCTGCCGTGGCTTGTCAAGGTGAGCTAGCTGGCCGTGCTCTGGGGCATGGAGAGCCCCCAGGTCCCCCTGTAGCACACCCCGCAGCATGGTGGTAAGTGGAGGTTAAGGCACGCATCCGAGGCTGGCACGGTGCCCCGGCACCCTCTGTGTGGGACCTCAAAAATATAAAGACGCGCGACATTCCTATTCTTGTCATGACTTCCACATCAGCCCAACACACAGCAATCAGAATCTATAGCAGAAAAGTTGAACTTTCTTCTTACCCACACAGAGGCCCATACAGCTTTCTGAGCTCCAGGTGGCCTTCCCAAAAACCCTGAAGAAAACACAGCACATGTTAAGAGCAAGGTTCATCAAAGTCTCCATTGTTCTCATTTATACGGGAAAAAAACTCTGCAAGAGCAAGAACACAATTATACAAGCCAAAAAAAATTTTAAAAAAAAGGTGTATTGCTCTCAAGTACTTTGGAATATTGGAATTAAGCAAATGACTTTTAAAAAAATATTATCAAGTAAATGTCTTAAGCAGCTTTAATAGACAAAAGAAGGGCTGGCACATGGCTCACTAGGCTAATCCTCCGCCTTGCGGCGCCGGCACACCGGGTTCTAGTCCCTGTCGGGGCGCCGGATTCTGTCCCAGTTGCCCCTCTTCCAGGCCAGCTCTCTGCTGTGGCCAGGGAGTGCAGTGGAGGATGGCCCAAGTGCTTGGGCCCTGCACCCCATGGGAGACCAGGAGAAGCACCTGGCTCCTGGCTTCGGATCAGCGCAGCGCGCCTGCCGTAGTGGCCATTTGGGGGGGTGAACCAACGGAAGGAAGACCTTTCTCTCTGTCTCTCTCTCTGTCTAACTCTGCCTGTCAAAAATAATATACAAAAGAGATCACCAGCACTTAAACTATGCGTGTATGATATCTGAAAACGGGGCCCGCGTGGTAGCACTGACTGATGCTGACATCCATGCTGTGTGATGCTGGTTTGAGTCCCAGCTGCTCCACTTCTGATCCCTGCTGACGTGCCTGGGAAGGCAACAGATGTTCCGCGAGCTTGGGCCCCTGCACGCACTGGGAGACTCAGACGGAATTCCAAGCTCCTGCTTCAGTCTAGCGCAGTCCGGGCCATCACCTGGGGAGTGAGCCAGTGGATGCAAGATCTGTCTTTCTCTGTCTTTCCCTCTCAGTGTGTAACTCACCTTACAAGTAGATAAAATAAATCTTTTTTTTTTTAATTTGGAAACTGCTTGCTTTCACAACTACAATATTCCTCTCCAAAATTTATTTTACATTATTCGCTGACCAAGCCTTTTTTTATGGCTACTACTTTTTTTTTTTTTTTTTTTTTTTTGGACAGGCAGAGTGGACAGTGAGAGAGTGAGAGAGACAGAGAGAAAGGTCTTTCTTTTGCCGTTGGTTCACCCTCCAATGACTGCCGCGGCCGGTGCGCTGCAGCCAGCGCACCACGCTGATCCGATGGCAGGAGCCAGGTGCTTCTCCTGGTCTCCCACGGGGTGCAGGGCCCAAGCACCTGGGCCATCCTCCACTGTACTCCCAGGCCACAGCAGAGAGCTGGCCTGGAAGAGGGGCAACCGGGACAGAATCCGGCGTATGGCTACTACTTTTATAAACTTCTGGCTCTATTTACACATTCTGAATTATCGTGATTCAAGTTAGATTTTAACTAAAACGAACATATTGCAAGCATAAGAACCTTAGAGTAACTATACAAAACGAAACACTAGGCGTGTTTTAGAGTGGAGTGACCGTGTGCAGAGGCGGAGGTCAGAAAGTACTAGATCCATGGTTCTGTAGAATGCAGTCGTGTGGTAGGGGTGGGGCTCGGGCTTGGACAATGCTGGGTGAGGTGGGAATGAAGTGTGCGTGAAATTCTGCCTGACTTTGGTGCGGTGAGGGTGAAAGGGCTGGATCTGTGCTGTAGGAATGGAGTATGTGGGCGGACAAGAAGTGGGGTGCAAAAAGTGGGTGTCCTGCATGGGAACATGTCCCCTCCCATGAAATCTTCTGGACCCTACAATGTGAGCTTGCCCCGTATCTGGGAAAGTTTCTGTGACTATGAGCCTCGTCGCTGAAATGACTGTTCCAAAAAGAATGGCAGTTTGCACAAATGAGGACGACAAGCTGGCAAGGGGACTGTGGGAGCCCACGCAGGGGAGGGGGCCCAGTCAGACCGCTGTGCTCGGAAGGGTAGTGCCCCATGAGTCACCAGACGGAATCCAGTGGACAGCTCCCCCCACCCCAGCCTTGTGCAAAATTTGTTTTCTCTGCATTTCCTGTGTGTTTTGTTGTCCTGTCTTGACGCATTTCAGTTCCTCACACAAGCTCCAAGCTTCTCACGGAAGGCCTCAGTGAGGCGACTCTGGGTGGGAAGGTGGTGAGCGGCCACCGCAGAGAGAAATGCAGGCACAGAAGCTGGCGTGTGGCACCGAGGGTCGCATCGCTGCCTGCAACACCGGCACCCCATATGGGCACCACTTCCAGTCCCGGCTGCTCCACTTTCATCCAGCTCCCTGCTCACGTGCCTGGGAAAGCAGCGCAAGACGGCCAAGTGCTTGGGCCCCGCACCCACGAGGGAGTGGGAGAGTTCCAGGCTCAGGGCTTCGGCCTGGCCCAGCTCTGGCTGCTGTGGCCATGGGGAGTGAGCCAGCAGATGGAAGACCTCTCTCTCTCTCTCTCTCTCTCTGTCACCCTGCCTTCCAAATGAATGATGGAATAAATCTTTAATGAATGACAATAAATGCAGAAGGGGCAAAGTCGCAGCAGAGTGGAAAGGGGGGGATGGGCGGAAAAGGGACAGAAAAGCAAACTGAGACGCGGGCGGCAGGGGACAGAACTAGCTGCCAAGGGCCAGCCTTCTGGGGCGGGTGGGGGTCCTACAGACAGCAAAGGACCAGCGTTGAGATTAGCCGGATGTAGCCCTGCGGCCTCCTTTGGGCTCGGCGGCCCTTCACAGTCAGGGTCTGTAGGCTCCTGACTGGGTCTGGTGGTCTGACTGGGTCTGGTGGTCTGACTAGGTCTGGTGGTCTGACTGGGTCTGGGGTCTGACTGGGAGTGGGGGTCTGACTGGGTCTGGGGGTCTGACTGGGTCTGGGGGTCTGACTGGGTCTGGTGGTCTGACTGTTCTGGTGGTCTGAGTGGCTCTGGTGGTCTGACTGGGTCTGGTGGTCTGACTAGGTCTGGTGGTCTGACTGGGTCTGGTGGTCTGATTGTTCTGGTGTTCTGAGTGGGTCTGGTGGTCTGACTGGGTCTGGGGGTCTGACTGGGTCTGGTGGTCTGACTGGGTCTGGGGGTCTGACTGGGTCTGGGGGTCTGACTGTTCTGGTGGTCTGAGTGGCTCTGGTGGTCTGACTGGGTCTGGGGGTCTGAGTGGCTCTGGTGGTCTGACTGGGTCTGGTGGCGTGACTGGGTCTGGTGGTCTGACTGGGTCTGGTGGCGTGACTGGGTCTGGGGGTCTGACTGGGTCTGGGGGTCTGACTGGGTCTGGTATCTGACTGGGTGTGGTGGCATGACTGGGTCTGGTGGTCTGAGTGGCTCTGGTGGTCCTGACTGG